GAGAGAGAGAGAGATTATATACATATATATAAATCTCGAACTACAGTTTCTGTTTCTTACGTCGTGACTTTTATTAGGGGGTCTTACACTATTTATTGTGATTATATTTGTGTACTAGTGATTACATTTATAATGGGACGCTTACTATTCGGTTCTGAATCTCCAATTATTAGACTGTGTTCGGAAATATCATTCGAATGCCCAATGTATCATTTTATCCTTGTTGTTCACCGAATGTTAAACAAGAATAAAATAACGCACAGGGGTACTCGGATGTTTCCGAGTGCAGTCTTAACGTGATCGGATGGTCACGTGGACCGTAAGATCAAAGATATCGAGACAGTTCATAGTTATCATAATTGCATTATATTCATACATTATTACTATTTACGCTACCTACTACATGCGCGCAGTGCGCAGGTTAAACAAAGATACAGATACTACGTAATACGCTCTCTCTCGGATTACCGTCTAATATAGGTGTTTAATATGGCTGCACTCCACTATCACTATATTTCAGTGGATATGACAGATTTCCTAACCCTCTTAAGAAGTTCCAACTTTTATACGCTTAATCACTGCCTTTTCAGTCAAACAACGAATTTTTTTTCTCTTCGAACTTTCATTTTTATGCAAAACCGCGTCGAATATGTGCAAATTTATTAAACTTTAAGGTGGAGGATCTAAACATTTGTCGTAAAATAAAAAAAAAAAAAAAAAAGAAAGAAAGCTAACCCGGCCCCGTCAAGGCAAACGTTGCTGTAAATAACGCCTCTTTTTGGTCCACCGTGATGAAGTAGCGCGATTTAAATTAATTCACTTTGCGTGGCATTCGCTACGACCTCTTGAATGTCGCCGTCGCGAGACACCCGCTCGTCTTCTCGCGGGTCACGCTCGCAAAGAAATAATCTCTCTAACCGATAACATCTTCCGGTTCACTCATTGGTTCACTCATTTTTGGAACTCGCTGTGTGATAAACGGCAATAACATCGGTTCGCTCTGCTTGCAGTTGGTCGCCGCGATCTCACCTAGAAATAATTGTATCGCTGCAGTACGGCTTAAGAAAGCAAACGACTGTTTTAATATAATCTGCTAATTTGAAGTTTACTATTTATAAAAAGAATTGTGTGTGCGAGAGAAAGAGAGAGAAGGAGATAATCCTGCGTCATGGCACCAAAGATAGTCGTTGTCGGTTCGTGCATGATCGACTTTACCTGGTGAGTAAGGACAGCTTTTTGTACATTGCCAAAGTTCACGGTTGTCTCGTGTGGACGATCGATCTTTATGATTATTAATATTACAATCATATTGCAGTTCGTTACGATAAATATTCTGTAGTATTAAACACAATATAAATGCAAAAAAAAAAACTCTTTCTATGTATTCGATTTTGTGTTGCTAATTTCATTTTAGTAGTTGTAATTGATTGAACACATTTGTAATAAACAGACACGCTACCATATCATTCTTTTCTTATTTTTGTCTAACGAGCAATAAAGATAGAATGACGCAAGTAATGCTGATAGCGCGCTCATCGAGCGCAGTCATAAGGCAATGTTTTTTATTACGACTGTTAAAATTTTCTTTCTCATTTTCATCAAAAATTTCAAAAACATTGTTCATTTTACTTTAAGTTTAATTATAAAATAATTCAGTTATAGAAAAAACAAATCTATACACTAGAAAAAAATTAGTCTTAAATCAAAACGAATATTCTCATAAAACAAAGATATTATAATCTTCTCGAACATTTTAGTCCTGATTTGATTGAATTTATATTGATGTATTATTTTCGCACAACTCAGATTAAAAATCATTCTATATGAAGATTATCATATTCTTAGAAAAATTTTTTAGTCTTGATTAATTTTAGTCAAGATTAATTTTTTTCTGTGTGTTGTAAAAAAAAACAAGTGAATATATCTGTTTATAGACATTGTCCTTTGAACATTTTTGTTTTTTAGTTTCTCTCCGCGGTTGCCTAAACCAGGCGAGACGATAATCGGAACTAGATTTGAAAAGAAATACGGTGGTAAAGGTGCCAATCAGTGTGTGACTGTCGCTAAACTTGGTGGATCCACGGCGCTTGTTGCCTCAGTACGCATTTTATCTTGTAGATAAAACCGACTGTAACTTGCTGTTTTAAGTATTTAGTCCTTATTTAGTGTAGTGTTTATACGCTTTTCCAAATTAACTGCTTCAGTACACAGTTCTATATCTTGTAGATAAAATTGATCGCAACTTGTCTTGCTTCAAATGTTCATTCCTTATTCAACAATGTTTATACGATTTTTCTAATAAATTACTCATTCTCATCACCCACATTACACGATGATTACATTTCATTTGTAATTTCTTGTCTTTTGTCGCAGTTGGGCTACGACACATTTGCTCAGGAATACTTAGAGATTTTAAAAAAGGAAAATGTAGACGCGTCTCAAGTGAGGATACAAAACGATAAGCACAGTGGTATCGCACACATTACCGTTGCAGAAAATGGTACGTTCTCGTGATGCTGCCTGACTATAAATCGGGATCTCGTCTTCAGGTTGGAATCGCGTTACAGGAAAGACGCTTCAAGTAACTTCGATTAATCTAAGAGAGTCCCGAATAAATAGATTAAAATCGAACTCCTCGTTAAAGTAACTCTGACGGTGCCGTCGCGTCAAAATAATCAGAAAAATGGCTTTCGAACGATATTCGCAGGTGAGAACAGCATCGTTATCGTGTTAGGCGCAAACGAATCATTGACTCTGGAACATGTGGATTCTGCCGTGGACGTCATCAAAGGCGCGAGCGTTTTATTATGTCAGTTCGAGATACCGATGGAAGCCACGCTACGCGCGCTAAAATTACACCGAGGTCATGGTTTGTCCTCTTCCTGTTTTATATAATATTAAAAATAAATTTTCCCCTTTTGGAGTCGAATTATCGCAAGGCCGGAAGTGATGACGGCACGACGAAGCCGAAGGAGTCACACTCGCGAGTCTGTATATCCGGAAGTGACGACGAAGCCAAAGGCGTCATAATCGCGAATTTGTGTATCCGGAAATGACGACGAGGCTGAAGGCGTTATAATCACAACTTTGTGATAAAATTTACGTAAGACGCTTTATCTTTCTTTCGCGTTTTTCCTTAAAGACCAGACGTGTCGTTTCGTACGCGTCGTTTTCGGCTTTGCGATAACAAACGGCTCCAGATACGAGAGCCGTGGATACATTTTTATCGCGCAATGTGATAGGACTTTCGATTGTCAACGGGGCACCCGCGCTGAAAAACCCCGATCCGGAAATCCTCAGATTGTGCGATATTTTCTGCGTCAACGAAATGGAGGTACGTGTTAACATGGCGATAACATGGTGATGTAACGAGGACGTTTCTTTCACGGTGTTTTCTTTCGAAAAGAATTGATGTGATGCTCGAGACGGATCAGAAGTGTTATTACACTTTTACAGGCGAAAATTATGATGAGTGTTGAACACGTGGACCTGTCCAACGTACAGCAAGTCGTGGATGAGCTCCTGGCTAAGGGATGTAACATGATCATCATTACTCTCGGACCGCTCGGAGCTGTGTACGCGTCGAAGACGAACAGAAATATCGTGCGGATTCCCACTACCGAGGTTCAACCTGTAGACACTACCGTACGTATCGTACGAATGTTGTCACAGGAACTTATAGTCGCGAATTCCACGAAATGAATTTTTCAGCTCGTCGCTCAAATTAAAGAAATTCTCCAATTTTTTTTTTAACTTTCTTTAATTTATTTTTTTTTTTAATTTCCTTTAATTTTTCTTTCGAAGAAGAAATAAGTTTTTCAAAGTAGCTTTATATATGACGATTACGAGATATATGACGATTACGTTTCGTGTAAATTTCTGCTAGAAATTTAATAATCTGCCGGAAAATTTTGTTCCATTCTACGTATGTCCATTATACGTACTTTCTGCTTATATAAAAATCATGTAAATTGATTCCTGATTTACGTCTTATACGAGATCGATTCTGAGACGCTTCATACAGATTTTCTTCTAGATTTAATAGTCTGCCGGAAAATTTTGTTCCGTTCTGCGTATGCTATCCGTATTTCCCGCTTTTATAAAAATCATAGAAATTGACTTCTGATTCATTTACATATCATACGAGATCGCGGCTGAAGCGATGAAAGTATTTGACAGTGCTTTCCGGTTCATGATCTTCTCAGCGAATAACCAATTTCCGGACTGGATTGAAACGCGCTGATTCACTTAGTGATTCATTCAAATGATTGGCACGTATTTAAGACGAGAAATTGCCTCAGGCCGCTAAGTGTTAATGGTATGCAATAGGGTGCCGGGGATGCATTTCTGGGCGCGCTCGCATACTTCAAAGCATATCATCCGCAGCTAACGATGGACGAGTGCATCAGGAGAGCTTGCGTGGTCGCTACGCAGTCCGTCCTTAAATTCGGCACGCACGCGAGCTTCCCAACGAGAAACGATCTGCCGGAAGATTTATTTATGTAAACAGAAAAGGAAATAACGCACTGGAGTGTGTTATTTGGACATCTGATATTTTATCTCGTTA